TTTGTACCCCCAAAGTCGTTGGTGTATAATTCAAGTTATACATAGTATATAATCTAATTTAAAATAAATTAAATAAATTACATTACTGATTATTCAGTGTTTATCATAATTTTTTTTTTTTTAAATTTCACGTTCCCCCAAAGATGTCTTCGCGTACCCCTGGTTGAATACCACTGCTCTAGTCGAATCTCGACAATCCAGAAGAATTCTGGGACAATATTTCAAAAGAGACCTCGACAGCTTCCAATCCACAATTACCCATGTCATCCGACGTCATATATTGTTGTTTCGATATTCAGCTACAGAACCACTGTGGTATTTCCATGACGTCACTTAGTGAGCACGTCTACGCACGTCATACGAAACACCGTTTGGTGTCCCACTTTCTTGGAAACCGTCAACATGTGCTTCCCGCGACAAACACTTGTTCTCTCTCGAAACTGACAAGAATCATCACAGTTCCTTCCACCCGATAACACCACGCAGAGTTCTGCTCTTGTAAACGCGGAAATCAAACCTTCTGACACATATTTACACTGAGAAAACCAAACACTCCATTCCAACTGAGTGACAGAATCTGTATGTTCGCCCGCAAAAGAATCTCAGCACGAACAGCGAATTATTTCCTTTAAACAGACTTAACCACGTGATTGTAGTTATGAGGACGCGTTGCGTTTTCTTTGAGATAATAAATTGATCTTTTGACGTCCGCCTAATTAGACAACCTCAGGTTTAGAAGGGCTGGTTTATGTTACGAAGTCAGCCCTCGCCCAGAAATGTACTCATGCTTGTGACAACAATTCCTTGTCACGAATTTGTCCGTCTGTTAAGAAACTCTAAGTTTGGATCACATATTTCACTCATGCTTCAAGTCCATAAAGATGGAGTGGGAATTCTTTGCTAGACGGCTAGGCGAACGGGTGGGGATGAAGGTGTGGTCTCCTTACTGACAGACAGTAAGGATATAAGACGGTTTCAGCTGACAACGAGTCAGTGGGTGCCAACAAGTGTGTCTTTGTGTCAGTGGTTTCATCTAAGTTCAGTGTCTAGCTAAAAAAATGTCGCTTGTGAATGTTTTTATTGTTATTCTGTCAGCTGCTGTCATGACGACAAACGGCAGAGCGTACTACGACGCAATTGTTGGTGAGTATAAATTGGAAATTAATAGTACACTCAGACCATAACATTCTCTAGAGAAGAAAATCTAAAATTTATAAAAGAAATCCATAAACAGGTACATTCATTAAATACTAATTACAATGAAACACGAAAGATAACTCGTGGATTGGAGTCAACAATTATAAACGTAATTCCAGTACTCAGATCCTAGAAAGATAAAATACATGCACTTACAAAACTGTACAAGAATAATCCTAGTTGATCTTCGTTATAATTATTCCATTACTTAATTCACGAACCCAACGACTGCGAGATCTAACAATGCAACAATAACGGGTCGCTTGTACGTAGAATCCAGAATTCGAAAATTATTTTAGGATTTTCTTGCGTGTACTTGCTTCAACAATCAGTAATTATCCATTTTGTATTTACGTGTTTCGTATGATTCTCAGAATAAACAGCGATTATTTCCTTAAACAGCGTCAACCAATCGATCTTTGTAATGGTGAAGAGTTGTGTTTACTTCGCGGTACGGACTGAATTCTTAAATACGTAATATTTAGACGAGCTTAGGCTTCAAAGGGTTAACCAATCGATCTTCGTAATGGTGAAGAGTTGTGTTTTCTTCGCGGTACGGGCCGAATTCTTAAATATAATATTTAGACGAGCTTCGGCTTCAAAGGGTAAACCAGTTGATCTTTGCAATGGTGAAGGGCTGTATTTTCTTTGCGGTACGGACTGGATTCTTAAATATTATTTAGACGAGCTCAGGCTTCAAAGGGTTAACCAGTTGATCTTTGTAATGGTGAAGAGTTGTGTTTTCTTCGCGGTACGGGCTGGATTCTTAAATATTATTTAGACGAGCTTCGACATCGGATGATTAATATATCAATCACCGGTTTTATTCTTATAACAGACAACAAACAATGTTGTTTTCTTGTTGTTGCTTTGTACCGGCTTCTGAGAAACGATAAAGATCTTCTAAATCTTTCTCTTTTTTCTGTTCCTATCCCATCCGCAAGAAAGGAAAAGCACAAAAAAGCATCCAGTTTGTACAAACCATTATTCTTGGTATGGGTAAAAAAGGGAGAAGCTATTGTTGGTCCTTCTTATTAGTTTATGTTTCTGCCGTCTAGTATTTCACTTACCGAGGCAGCTCCATCGCGTATCTCACGCTACCTTGAGGTAACTCTCTTCGCATATAATGCAAACACAGTCAACGTGGTTTCAGAAATAGGTTCTATCTCACGATGGAGTGATCTAGCGTCAGACTTCACGGGTTCCGGGGGGTCGGTTGACGCTGAAACTACGCATTTTGACGGTTGCCAGAGTCGACCCGTTCTTTGACGGTTGTGAAATGACGCTAGATTTAAACCAAACTTTGCTTGACGGATAACAAATTCAGGATTCGTATACATAAAAATGCTGCAATATCTTTTGTGTTTCTGTTTTGATTTTTAAAATAATTCTAAACATTTTCAGCGCACAATATCAAATGGAAAATCACTAGATTAATAAGAAATGAAAAACATTAACGTTTTAATTGTTTAAGAAACAGAAAACTGCCGATCAAATCAGCGCCATTTTTCTTATTATACTGGATATCTAAACACTGGGATAGTGGATTAAAATTTCTCTCGGGGTACGGACGTATATTCGAGTTTTATTGTCATTAAATAACCCAAGAATTAATCAACACATCGTCTGGGATGTTGCGACGTGTAATATGACGTTTCGGAGGTGCCTACTGCCTCCATCATCAGGGCGACGGGTAACTTCTATCAGACCACACGACGCAACATCCCAAAAAAGAGTCATCTTCATATTCATAAGAACCTGAAGTTTCACCAAGACATAGAAAATGATTTGTTCTTCAATCTCTATTGCCTGTGTGCCCAGATTTTCCTTGTCTTTAATGGTTCTGTACGAAACGGGCCCTCACACAGCAGGACCCTAACCTTAAAATACACTCAGATTAAAAAACTTTGCCTGGTAAGTTTCGAGGTATTTGACTAACTAAAAGTCTTGCGCAAGAGTTATAAAGCATGAAGTAGTTTTGCAGTGTTCAAGGCGTGTAAAAATGCAGTGCCATTTAAGATAATGAATTACTACAGCCGAGTCTAAACATTTATTGAGAGCAATAACATTCTCGGTTTCTGTAACACGGTGATACGTCTGTCACCTTGATGAATGCCAGAATCACATCAAGACACTCAACTCCATTCGTAGTGCGTCTGAAGAAAACAAAGCTTTCGGTAGATCAACTGATTGGTCAGTAACACTCCTATTACATTACCCCCTCAATCATCACACTTAAAAAAAATGTATTTTAGTACAGTTTTATCGAAAACTGTCACTGGAAGAGTAAATACACTTAGAAACAACTGAATACGCTGCATAGAAATTACCATTTGTAATTTATTTCAACTCCCGGAATCATATCTCGCTCAGGCAATCGGCCATATTGACTAGCACAATTTTATATTTTTCCCCAGTTTATTCTAGGCAAACGTTTGTATGACACATTAGCTAGGCATCGATCAGATCAATCCACAATCTTATCCTTACATACCCTGAACAGACGTCATTATTACACTTAATAGCTGTTCTTAAATTAAGCAGTGGTAAACCATTCTCTACATATACAGAGTGTCCCAGAAACGTATGCATATTCAGTGAACGAAATAAAGACATTTTAATAAACTAAACCATTACATACGTCAGAATTTGCACTTACTGAATTCGCGAGTCTAGGGTAGTTGTTCAAAGTGACCATCCACCTTTATCACACCCACAGTGTGTCTATCGCTAGAGACTCCTTTACAAAATCGGTGTACCATGGGCGAAGGACTGATATTAAGTTCGGAAAGACTTTAACAGATGCATCCTACAGAATCGCCATCAAACTGCTCGTGTTTGCAGTGTGTGACGATGTGTGTTGCTTCTTACGTTGATAATTTACTAGTTCTATGAGCGCAGTAAACTTGAGATTAGCGAAATATTTACCGCGTTCTCCATGTACACGCGGGAACTATTAAAAATGTATACCATTTCTTCTTTCTACCTTGCTCAAATAGCCTTTTAGAGCAGGCGTGGGACGGCAGAGGGAAGACGTAGGCAAGGCAGCACTCTACCTGATCTTCACGCCTGGTGCAAAGGTCGAAAGACACAGGACGTATGCTTAATTGTTTTTCTCGCAAGAAGAGAGACACTGAACATATACCAACACTTTAAAGTTTAATAGTATCTTTACGGTGCCCTAAAATATATACACCCCCCAACCATTACATATTTAATCAATGTATATACATATTTTGGGACACCCTGTATATATATCATAAAATTCAACAGCTCTGAATTTTGACCACATCGTGCATTTTTGTGTTTCGCATTATTCTCAGAATGAATGCCCATAACTTCCCTTAACAGCATTTACTGATTGATGTTGTCATGGAGACGAGTTATGTTCTCTGTGAGGTACGTCAATTTTGCGTGTTGGATTGGAATTCTTTTAGCGATGAGAACGCAGCAGCTAATTACACACTAAACAAACTAATAAATAAGAAATTAATTAATTATTCTTGTCCGTCTAATCACAATTTAAAATTTAAAATTAAAACTAAGATAATTAAAATATCTGATAAACAACTATAAAAAAGTTACATATAAGAAATTATGATTAAGTTTTAAGTTTATATAATTTTAATTAATTTTTATACACCTGAAGATGGTTCATTTAAGAACCGAAACATGTCGTAAGAAAAAGATGTTCTAAATGTAAATCGAATGTTTCGATAGGAACATCACATGATATTTTAATTATCTTAATTTTAATTTTAAATTTTAAATTGTGATTAGACGGACAAGAATAATTAATTAAATATATTTTCACAATATGACGCAACTATACCATCTTGTGAATAAGAACTTTTTCTTGCAGTAGACGCGGAGGGGAGGTCGGACGACGGAGAGGAGGTGATGAGGACAGTGAGTCCTGAGGACTGCTTTCAGCCTCCGTCGAGCGGCCAGTGTCGGGGGTCCTTTCGGTCCTACTACTTCAACCGGAAGTCCAGGACGTGCGAATCCTTCGTCTGGGGTGGTTGTGGGGGCAATAACAACAGGTGAGGGACACAATGCAACAAAAAGTAACATTTAGGAAGATTCGGAGAATATTTTATACAGGGCGTTCTATTTAAACCGCAACCCTGCCTACTACAAATGACGACGACAAAACCAATGACAGTGCTGAATTCCTGCAGTCGTAACACTTTGTTGCAACTAACGCTCTGCTTTAAATCGGTACGGCCCGTAATTTCAGCTGTTCCGTCGATCGACAAGCACCTGCCACAGACAAATACTTTCTACGTCCAGAAATTTTGTTACCAGTAGACGCATTGTTTTTAGGTTTGAGACTCGAGACTCTTGCGAGAAGAATTGTCAAGACAGGAAGGCAGACGTAGCGAGCGAACAAATTGTGAAAACATGCAACCCAGATGTTGAACCGCCCGTCTGCAACAGAGGATGCAGACTTATCAAAGACAGCAACAGCTGTCCTAAATGCGATTGCATCAGTCACAGTAAGTATAGCCAACCTCTGAAAACAATCTCTATTAACTTGTGGTGTTCCAGCATGTTTTGGAAAGCCCTGTTTGTGCCATATAGCTATATCAACAGTTCATTACTTTAAAGTCCTCTATCCAAGAATGTGGTCTCTGAAATATATCAGTCACTTAAGGATATTTGGAAAGACGATAGCTGTTAGACCTAAGGACCTAATCAAATTCTACAAAACAATACTACAATTTTTTTCCCAAAATACATTGATTTTAAAGGCGTCAGTGTTGCTTTCGCTTCAGATTTCTTGACGCGAATTAGTGTAGAGAAAAAAATGTACAAAGTTGGATGACCTTGAACACCCTGTACATAATATTTTACGAAAATCCGTCGCTTTGTTGATAGTAGTTGCAAACACAGACATAATAACACCTTTTAAGTCTATATTTCTGAGGCAAACGAGAGTAAATATACCTCGCAACAATGTCGGAAGCGGTAATTCAGTAAAATCCGAGTCTTGTGTTAAAGGCTTGACAAATACTCTAAAATGTTTGACGAAAGGTCATTTTTATTTTACAGCCAAATAAAGACCTTTTTTTACAGTGTCTAATTTTTTTGTTTTCTTCTTCACGGTCTCATGAGCCAAGTAAATAACTTGCGCTAGTGAGCGCTTCAAGAGTAACGGAGCGCATGAAAGAAACGCGGCCGACAGCTGCACTAGCGAAGCCTAGCGTTGTTATTTGTAACGTGAAGTGATTTGTGACTCTTTGCCATAGTAACTTGAAAGCTCTGGACTTGACGGCTAGTTCCCTACCAAAGTTACAGCTCAAACACAGGGGTGCCAACACAACAGTGACCACCACTATAAAAACTTACCCATTGTTGCCAGTCTTGGAAAGACTTTTCACTAATTATACTTCGCAATTGTAGTTCGCATTATTTCACTGAACATTTACAGACTATTTCAAAATGTCAACAGCTTGTGCTAAAATTACACGTCTGGTGTCATTAGAACTTCACTAGCATTCATGTAGCCTAAACAATTACTCCCAGGGGTACGCGAAGACATCTTAAGGGGTACGTGAAATTTTAAAAAATATATATATTATTTATGATAAACACTGAATAATCAGTAATGTAATTTATTTAATTTATTTTGAATGTAGATTATATACTACGTATAACTTGAATTATACACCAACTACTTTGGGGGTACAAAGTTGAAGAGAAATTATATCTGGGGGTACGGGAAGACATCTTAGGGGTACGTGAAATTTAAAAAAATATATATATTATTTTATGGTAAACACTGAATAATCAGTAATGTAATTTATTTAATTTATTTTAGATGTAGATTATATACTATGTATAACTTGAATTATACACCAACAACTTTGGGGGTACAAAGTTGAAGAGAAATTATGTCTGGGGGTACGCGAACAAAAAAAGGTTGAATACCACTGATCTAACCAATACTACAAAAATTCAGTTTTTGTCTCAAAAGAAAAAAATAATTGTAACATGTCTCCATGACAACGATCAGTTGGTTAATGATACTTAGGAAAATAATGATACGAACATATCGCGGGCAAAATTCATTCTTGCTGAAAGTTGAAGAGGCTACAATTCGTAGTTTTGGATCAAACTTCAATTTATGATTTGTGTGTGGCAGAGAACGTGTGTGGGCTCCCGGCCGTGAGGGGCCACTGCAGGGCCCTTCTCCCCAGGTGGAGGTACGATCCAGCGACGGGAAAGTGCGCAGAATTCAAATTCGGGGGATGTGATGGCAACGGGAACAACTTTATGACAGAGCCACAGTGCATGAAGACTTGCGGAGGTCAGTAGTCCAACGTCAGTCAGCGTCAGTCAACGTCCCGTACGAACATTGCAGTCGGATACTAAAAACAATTCTAACTTAAGTAGGATTTTTTTTATTCTAACGGCGCTGAATCTGAAGATTGCTGCCTTCTGGGTTGTTGCCCCGTGTAGTCTGGTAGATGGCCACCGACGTTTCGGAGGTCCAAGCTGCCTCCATCATCAGGGCGACGATGGAGGCAGCATGGATCTCCGAAACGTCGGTGGACATCTACCAGACTACACGGCGCAACGACCCAGAAGACAGAAATCTTCGAGTGTTAGGAACATTGAGTAATGCAACTTTATTATTGATCTGTTAATCTGGAAATAAAACGGACGTTTTTACCTGTCTACTTCTCTTTAAAAATGTCTAAACATTGCCTTCTTTCCCTTTTCAGGTTTTTAAATCGTCTACTCCTGCAGTGTTCACCCTCATCACACAGCAGCAACCCATGATTGACAGTCAATCTCCTTCAAGCTCAAACCGAATAGTAGTGGTTATTTTGGACGAGGCAGTGATCGTATGTTCCTGCAGCTCAAATCTTTTCAAAGCTGACGCAGTTCTGTCTGATTACTTCTTTTCTAGACCAGGATGCTTAATCGAGTTTGCCCGATCGGACAACGAATTTTTGTTAAATATGGGGACAGCAATGCGAAAACTTTACTGTCGACTTCATTAAAGATTTACGTAAGTGTGAGGAAAAAAAAAACGTAATTTCGAATAACGCTGGAATATTCACAGATAATTTTGTTTTTATGCAGGAAGATGTTTCTAAACTGCTTCTAGCCACGTACGTTTCACCTTTTCAATTACAAGATGGCTGTCTTCTGGATGGAAAAGCAGTGAATCAGGTAGAAATTTACCACCTTTTCAAATGTCCTTGGGCCAATATCATCAGGGATATGAGGGCAATGATGGAGGCATCAAGGACCTCCGAAACGTCGGCAAAATTATACCAGACTACACGGCGCTACAACCTAGAAGACACCATATTTGTACTCACCGCACATTCTAATTACAGCTGGAAAATGTATTCCGGTTTGGAGGCCTTGAAGGAAGTTGACGTATTTCACTCCTTCTATAGTTCATAATTGACGATAATTTATTTCTGACACTAACTGGTTATTGTTCCAAGCGTACAAAATGTATTATCTACTTCAATGTACACAAACATGCAATAGAATTCCATTCCACTTCGTTCTTACGTCTTAGATATAAGATTTACAATTACTATTTCTAACAAACACTATCTCGATGATTTCATCACATACATTTCACGTATTTGTACAACCCACCGCTAATCATATTTATATAAACTAATCTTAGCAAGATGTGAAATAAAGCAAATATTTTTCAAAACATATGCCATTACATATAAAATAACACCTTTACCTCAAAACAAGTTTCCAGATGCCATTAAGAAAGAAAGTGAGAAACAGATGGGCGTCGCGACGCAGTCACGTTTACTGACGACAGGTAAGATGCAACTGCACATGACGAAACAATTCGTCACACCCAAAAGACGTAGCAATTACCTGACGTCAGATATCGAATGCCATTAAAACCGAGACTTTAAGCTGATAAACGCCAGTATAACTTTGAAATTCTTTAAAAATCGACGCGTGTAATATCGGCGCGATCAAACGACGCCGAGCAAAGCAACGCCACCATATTAACCTAACCTAACCCAACCTAACCTAACCTAACCTAACCTAACCTAAACTAACCTAACCTAACCTTACCTAACCCTCGTGATTTTCTTCAACAGGAAGACAGAAAACTGACAAAGAGAGACGCGACGCCATTTGTCCCGACAACGCCAACGACGCCGTATATAGCACGAAAGAACCTCATGATATAGAACACGTCAATGAAAATATACATCAGCGGAGACGCCAAAATACAATTTCTGACAGGCGAACAGGAGGAAGTAATTAGATAAGTTTCTAAACCAAGGCGTCGCGACGCTTTATCAGTGTACCTCACATAACGTTGCCCCTAACATTAGTACTCCGGCATCTTGCTACTATTTAATAATACAGCAAAACCGAGAACACTTTACCATTTCTACGGTCCATTTTTTAATGTATTTAAGGAGAAAATCGCTGTTCACACTGAGAAGTTTAAGTGCAGACTTGTAATCAAGCAGGTGGGACAGATATGGGCTACTAGGGGTCTTAGGGCTTAAAAAATGCTTTGTGTTGTGTCGTAGTGTGGTCTCAGTATATAACATTAAAAATATTCCCAAACCAAGAGGTGATATTTCAAATTGTAAACTTTCAACCGATACCATAAGCTGCGTGATATCTTGCCTGATGTAGACGACTCAGTATTTTGAATTGAAACTACTGTCTAACATCCTCGTCCAACCAAATATCATCACAGAGCTAAACAGACTTAAGTACCACAAGGAAGTAGAGATGTTCCTTGGTATTCTGCACTTGTCAGTGGACTGATGTTGATTTTGTGCAGATAGAAATCTAAGACTGGGAATGGAGAAAGTATTTTCCCGTGTATGCTTATTTCTCAAATTATAAATTGTATCAAAAGTGTTTCAAATCAGAGTTGCAAATCTTTACTAGATTCATATTTCTGTTGCGTTACAGTCCTTTGAAAGACAAGCAGTTTTTGGGGAAACGAACCTAATATTGAATAAAAATTTCCTTGGATATTATCCATCGTCTAGTAAATATAAAACGTAAAACGACGTTTCGGAGATGGGACTCTATCTCCGTCTTCAGGTTCCTACACAGTTGGGCCCACTAGATAGAGCTAATCCCTATCTCCGGAAATTTTTATTCAATTGACTCTTCACCATCGCCAAGAAGTTTTAGATTTGATATGAACCTAATATTCGTACCAAAATCCGATACCTTATATTATATGAATCCTGGACAAAATAAATTTCCTATATTTTTTTTACGCCATAGCATGCCAACATGATAAAGGACGTTCCGTCTGCATTTTTCAGCGTTGTGATAATCATTGCAGTGGGACGATCCAACATGCATGAAGTTGTATCGATAGGTTAAGGTATTAATTTAGAGCTGAAGGCCAATCAAAAGTATTACGAGGGCAATGAAAATTCGCGGTGCTGAGGCTGGAGAAAACTGACACAGTCAGGGCACATAGCGCGCATAAGAGATATCATAAATGTGTATAAATGTTGTTTCGAAAGCTTGGATAGAAGAGTTACTCAGTAAACCTTGACGTAGATGGAAGGGTACATTCAAATGGGCCTTGGGATCATATAGACGTGGCTTAAGGACATGGTCCAGTGTCGGACTCCTGTGACCACGGCAAAAACTTCGTGTCCTATAAAATGTAGGAAATTATTTGACTAGCTTAGCTACTATCAGCGTCACAAGAAGGATTCTTCCCCATGAAGCAAATTATATTAAAATGGAGGGAATTAATCTGATACGTATGCAGCTAGGTGACAATTGCGTGGTACATGATTACAGTCCATCTTTGTCTCTAACTTGTAGTGGGCCTGGACGGTATTTGTAAAAACGTTCTTAGAGAATTTATCTCCCTTGTTTGCCATGACATTCATTTATCGTATATACTGCTGACAGATCTAATTAACAGTACGTCCGCTGACAGCACTCTGCAGAATCACAAATTATACTGCTGACAAATCTAATAAGTATTGGGCTACACAGCCGAGAGACGAAAAATTAACTTTTACTGACACTTCGTTATATTATCTCACGCAGACGTTACCCCTGGCTTCAGCCTTAGGTAACTTCAAGTGAGACTCCAGCTGGACGAAGTAGCTTTTGCGAGTTCTTCTGTTTTCCTCTCCTAATCATCATTCCACCATTGTTCCGTACCAATCTATCATCGCCCCCAAGAGGTGTGAGACAGCCCTGGGTCCTACGTTAGGGGCTTCCTCTCTGATCCAGAACACGGTCTGTATTAAAGGAATTTGACACACAAATTCGACAAATTCCAAAGAAACATATCTTTATTATAAATACAGACCTAATCAATTCTTAGAAATTTTCTGGAATACTTTTTATGTTGCATTTAAAGTGCGTTTCAACAAAGATAAAATTTAAATTCGCTTTATTTACAGTTCATACATCTCTGAAGACGACTGTCTTCTGGGTTGTAGCGCCATGTAATCTGATAGAAGTTTGCCGACGTTCCAGAGATGCATCCTGCACTCATCGCCCTGATGACAGAGGCAGCAAAGACATCCGAAACGTTGATAAGCGTCTGCCAGACTATCATCTTCAACTCAAAAGCTAACGTGCCTCCATTATTATGATATAGCATTTAGACAGCTTAAGACCGTGTTTTTGAGCAATGCGCCACTGTTGCACTGACCATATTACGTAGACTCTTAGAAGTGGATACGTGACCCAGGTTCAAATGTGGCCCTAAGTGCTCCAGTGGAGAAAAGGCTGGTTGGCATAAGGACGAATAAAGTATACAGTTCCACGGAACTAGCAAGGAAAAATACTAGGTGCTTTAATATTTAAAAAGGTAATGATGGAATACATGGAGTCCGAACCATGCGTGACCGGCGTCTATATCTTTAGATTAAGAGGTGCCATATAGACGCAACACACGGGGTGTTCCAGTCAGGTGTCAAATCTGAATGCGGTGACGCAACGGAACACAGTCCTTATTCAGAAAACACACGTCTTTTATGGAATCCGAAGTGTTCATAAGATCTAGCCATTAAGCCACATACAGCCAGTTGAATTCGCCCAATACTCTCAAACCCAGAGCAATTTTAATATCATCCTTCCATCTAAGTCTAGGTCTCCGAAGTGGTCTTCTGCCCTCAGATGTTTCGACGAAAATGTTGCATACATTTCTTGTTTCTCTCATGCGTCATGTAATACAGGGCTCGGACCGTTCTCATTTAAGACAACCAGCCTTGTCTTCCTACATACCATTCATTGGGGCAGCGTCCATAATAAGCCGTAAATGAATAAAACGTTTCGGGACGTAGTGATGTAGAGCAGTGGTATTCAACCTTTTTTGTCCGCGTACCCCCAGACATAATTTCTCTTCAACTTTGTACCCCCAAATTTGTTGGTGTATGATTCAAGTTATACATAGTATATAATCCACATTTAAAATCAATTAAATAAATTACATTACTGATTATTCAGTGCTTATAATTTTTTTTAAATTTCACGTACCCCCTAAGATGTCTTCGCGTACCCCCAGATATAATTTCTCTTCAACTTTGTACCCCCAAAGTTGTTGGTGTATAATTCAAGTTATACATAGTATATAATATACATCTAAAATAAATTAAATAAATTACATTACTGATTATTCAGTGCTTATAATTTTTTTTAAATTTCACGTACCCCCTAAGATGTCTTCGCGTACCCCAGGTTGAATACCACTGATATAGAGAACTCTTACGGGAACTAAGTCAATTTTAAGATATTTTTTAGGAAATTATAAGAAAACAAAGATTTAGGCCTTTCGGTAATTTCCGGATGAATACAAAGAAATAAGCTCTAAGTTGTTAACCAAAACAGAACTGAGAAAGCAAACAGGAACATGAAATAAACAATAAGTCTGTTGTAAAGCCATACGGAACGTACGCCGCTGTTTTACAAAACGTTTTACATGTAGGTGTTGTCATGTATATATAAAAGGGAAAAAAAAACCTGGCGGTGCTAGTCGCTAAAAGCCCAGGCGGCGAGAAACGACAAGAAATATCTCCCAGGGCGACTTTGCCGTCGAGGTAGGAACTGCATATACGCTATCACATATCGCACTCCCCCCCTGGAAACCACAAGAGATCCACGGTAAAATAATTTCAATTGTGTAAATGTGCTTTGAATATCCAAAACTTCCATCAGCTGTGTATACAGGCCTATAACACGTGGATAATATTAAAGAGTAATTGGTCATCTGTGGGTCTGACAAAACACTGACAGCCACAAATTGGAATTATGCAGCAGGGAGTATGAAAATAATTTTATCGCCCTGATGACGGAGGCAGTATGACCTCTGAAACGTTGGTAAACAGCGACCAGACTACCCAGCGCAACAACCCAGAAGACAGAAATCTTCATACTTATCGCCCTGATGATGGAGGCAGTATGACCTCTGAAACGTTGGTAAACAGCGACCAGACTACCCAGCGCAACAACCCAGAAGACAGAAATCTTCATACTTATCGCCCTGATGATGGAGGCAGTATGACCTCTGAAACGTTGGTAAACAGCGACCAGACTACCCAGCGCAACAACCCAGAAGACAGAAATCTTCATACTTATCGCCCTGATGATGGAGGCAGTATGACCTCTGAAACGTTGGTAAACAGCGACCAGACTACCCAGCGCAACAACCCAGAAGACAGAAATCTTCAAGTTAAACTCC